TGCATCTATAAATATATGGAGAAACATCTTAAGAATACAAGGAAAAGTTATCAGGCAATTGATGGAGGCAATCAACTTGCAGGACACCAAGATATTTCACAGTCTTACAATTCTACAGGAAATTATCAAACAAAGCAACTTGAGAATTTCATTATCTTCTTGTATCCCATAAGATTAAATCTTGAACCTTGTTGCTTTTATAGAGGGGGATTTAAAGCTTATAGGAAAGTGATTACACGCCTGAAGATATCAAATGATCCAGTTTTGTTCCCTGATGCTTTCAGTAATTTTGTTGTATTTAAAATGTATTACAGAATACAAACACTTTTTTCAACACATTTCAATGACATGCAAGATGCAATACTTGACCCTCCAAGCTTTCATCCAACAATTGGTCACATTAGTGAAGTTTGAGAACAACGACCCAAAATCGAGTCTCACCATCGGCAGTGTGGGAACAACCTCTCAAAGTGAATGGGGCCCTCAAAGTGATGGGAGCTCCTTATGCACGGTAAGCAAAAGTCTAGCCTCTGTGTTCAACTGAATTACATGATTTAAATCCTTCCAAATGCTCTGTGGGGCCGGGACGTAAGGGCCTTTGGAGTCGGGGATTCAACCTTTTGGAGACAATAATTACAAATATTATTATGTTTAGATTAGATATAATAAATGAAATGAGCTCATGTCACGCCAAACTTTTGAGTAAACTCAATATTAAAAGATTAAAACTAAATTATTATTATTATTATTTTTTTTTTTTGGAAAAAAAAAAAGATTTGAAACTAAATATTTAATAATTATTTAAACATATAATTTTACAAATTTATTGTTTTCATTCTCTTTAAATTTTCAAAAGGAGACACACTTTTACAAAACGTTTTAATTCGTTTGCTTGTGGCATACACAAGATTGGACATTGAATTAACTCATAAGTCCACTTTTTACCTTTAATAATTATGGCGTGAATCCGATAAACTCTGCTGACACAAGTAACAGACAACATTTTCTTTTTAGTGGTAGACACACGCTCAACCATGTAAATTTTTGTATTTTAATGTATACTTTTTTGGTTTAGGCAAAGACTAAATATGTGGACAGAAACATAAATATACACTGCTTGAGCAATAATTTTAATTTTATGTAGGTAAGGTGCTATTAGGAAGTCAATATATAATAGAGAGGTTCTTTTTTCCATTGGAAAATGATAACTTAAATGATAACTTGTCTTCTCCAAATTAAAAGTTTGAATCTCCAATTCCAAGAGCCTCCTACACCCGACTGACAAAGTATTTGGGATGATGTAAATCACAGTAACGCAATGGCTCATTAGACATGGTCAAATGCCAGTGTGCACAAGGAATCTGCTCACTTTAGACATTATTTTCACATTGCTGCCACCAAGATTTGAACATTGGCATCTTCTTCCAAATACTGCCTACTGAACCATTAGAAAATGATAACTTGATTAGGTATTGTTGGAGGAGAGAGTAATTGTTTAAATTTTATTGGAAGCAAAAAAAAAAAAATGAATAAAATTGATAATTTAATTTTTTGTTGTAAATCAATTGAAGAATGCAATTTGAGTTGGGGCATTGAGCTCCTTATGTATAAAAGAATATAATTTGGTGTGAGATTCGAAACTAAGCATTATCTCATTATTATAGATTTAGGTGTGGATTCATAGAGTCTAGTCTAGGATATATAATCCAATGAAATTGAATTATAAAATAAATAAATAAATAAAATGTATTGTATTACATTTTTTCTTTAAAAAAATTACATATCACATTAAGAGAAGAAAATAGTATTTTTCTTTTTGGTGACTCTGCTACGAAACTATCTCATGAATAATCCTTATGCATGAGGTCAGGTATGTGGGGTCTAGATGGAAAGTGTAATACTAATAAGAGATAAGTTTATTGTTACTTATGAGAAAAATGTAATACTCATGAAGAAAATTGTGATTCTTTTGATAAAAAAAAAATGCAATACTTTTAAATCAAAATATTAATCAGTATTTTGGCATTGAAAAGTTACTTATAAGAAAAAGTGCAAAATTTATGAGTAACTCGATCTGTCTCATGGATGAGGATCTGTGAACTAGTCTTATAGAAGTTTTTGTTTTAAGTGGACACATCCACACTCTCAATATTGAGAAACAAATGTTAGTATGTATCTTATCATTATTATACTTTTAAATTTATAATAAGAGTAAATTACACTTTTGGCCCGATGACTATTAGGGTGTTGTTAATTTCAGTCCATGAGTTTCAAAAGTGTCAATTTGGTACCGTAATTATTCAATTTTTCTCAATTTTAGTCCCTCCGGCCAAATTGCCTGCAAAAAATTGGTCGGAAAATGTTAATGGGTTAAATAATGAGGCCAATTTTGTCTTTTCACCCCTTCTTCTCCTCCTTCCCCGCCGAAACGTTCTCTGGACGCTGATGCAAACCACCGCCTCCTCCACCATCCAGAAGTTTTCAGATTCCGACGAGTCAACAACAGTATGCGCATTATGGCTGAGAGGAAGTTATAGAAGCTTGGCCCTTTTTTCGCAATACAGAACCGCCTCGTTTACTCTGAAGCTCCATCCTACCAACGAAAACGGCATTGGATCCACCGCATCCCGCTCGTCTAGCTCTGTTTTCTCAGTAATTAGATCGTTTCTTCCTGCCCGTCGTCGACTCTGCCTCGATCTAGTAAAAAACCTCTATTTTCCCTGTGGGTAATCTCTATCGATCTCTCCATTTTATTTTTATTTATTGATTTTCTTTTAATAGTTGAGTTATATTTTAATCATTTTTTTCTTAAATTGGAAAGCATTTAGGTTTTTAATATGATGATAATTATTGGCTGCTTATATGGTATATGAAGTTCTCGACAGTGGAGGAGGCGGTGGTCTGCATCAGCGTCTGGAGAACGTTTCCGCGGGGAAGAAGGAGAAGAGAATATGAAAAGACAAAATTGCCCTCATTATTTAACCCATTAATATTTTTCGGTCATTTTTTTTTCAGTAATTTGGCCGGAGGGACTAAAGTTGAGAAAAATTGAATAGTTATGGTACCAAATTGACATTTTTGAAACTCATGAACTGAAATTAACAACACCCTAATAGTCATTGGACCAAAAGTGTAATTTTCTCTTATAATAATTATAAAATGAATTTCATTATTAAAAGTTTTCAATAAGTATAAATTTAGCTTCGTGTTTTCCCCCTTGTTTTTCAGGCAAAGACTAAATATGTGGAAAAACCATAAATATGGAGAATCTTCCGTTTACCTAACTTTAAGTAGGTTTGGAGGAAGTCAATAATATAGGTTTATTTTTTTCCATTGTAAAATGACAATTTTAATTTATCAAAAAGTTCATAGTCACTATTTAAAAGTATACTTAATTATTAAGTAAAATTTGTCTTGTAATTCTAATTGATAAAAAAATACAATAAAATAATTAACTTAAATTGTTAATACTTGTCTGTCTCAAACCAAGAATATTAATAAGCATCTTGGTAATCAATTATCAAGACTATTAATAATCCACTAAGTCGATTGTAAAATGATAACTTGGTAAGTGTGCTCAATGGAGAGCAAAATTGTCACGTGCTTAAATTTTATTAGAGGACAAAAAACAAAGAAATAAACAAAAAAACAATGATTCTTTTTTCGTTTTCAATGAATTAGGGTCAGTAACGTTAACAAAAGTTTAAAAATGAGGTAAAAATAGGAGTATATATAATACTATTTCTTTTCCTATTTTTATAGAAGTCACGTTAAGAGATGAATATTGAAAATAAAATTAAGAAAATAAATTAAAATTGTTAATTTTCTTTTCAAGTAGAATAGTTGAAAAAATCGCTAGGTTTTAATTTCTTCGGGCGTTGGGGGGCGCCTAGCACCTAGGCGCCCGTGAATTATTTTTATTTTAAAAATTTGTTTAAAATTTTTAAAATTTTCAAGACTTGATAATTATAAACTATTTAATACTATACTAAAATATTAAATATTAACTTTAAAAAATCTAGAGTTTGAACAATTTAGAGTTACTTCGCTCAAAACGTTGTCGTTTTGAGTGAAATAACCCATTTAAAAAAGAAAAAAAATAGCTAATCGGACGACTAGGTGACCTAGTCGGTGCCTAGAAGGCCTAGGCTGATAGTGTCTAAGCGGCCTAGACGGTGCTTAGACAGCCTAGTCGGCTGTCTAGACTACCGATTATAGTGATATGCTAGGCGGTTGTCTAATACTTAAGTGGGATTTTTACAACACTGAGTAAGATATGATGAAGTAGTTAATTGAGGGTTCTTTTTATATTTGAATTCATTTTGGCTTTGAGTACGTTACTATCTCTTATTTGGACTTTGGAGAGAGTTCATCCGATACCCTATGACTTCATTAATAATTAAGCTTTGAATCAATCCAAAATCTTAAGGTAGGTCAAACTCATTATATTTATTGGGCACAAGTCTTTTTTTTTTTTTTTTTTAATAACTTAGGTTTCTCAACTTTGCTAGGGTATATTTTAGACACCCGTGAATCTACTCCAAGACTCATGAAGGAAGTAAATTATCTTGAGTTACCCAAATGATTTCAAGTTCCCCTCATCACCTGTACACTTACGTGTGCAAAAGATTTTCACCACCATTGATGGGTAGAAGTCCCCAATGACTTATTAGGTTCCCAAATGCGGTTTGAATCCCCACGATCCACATTGCCGCAATAAGCAAGACTAAATATTGTTGGGCACAAGTCATTGATATATAGAGAAGTACATTTCAAAATAATAATAATAATAATAATAAAAGAATTAAAGTGATATCAAATAAAGTAATATATAAAAATGCATGTGGATATATATATATATATATATATATATATATATAAATCCATTTGAGTCATGTACATGACAAAGGAAGACTCCAAACGACACATGAAAATGTGTCTGGTGGAACAACAACAATAAAAGAAACAGAAACCAGCTGAGCCCAAAATTATGCTACCTATGAAAAAAAGAGAAGAGACTGTTTTAAGGTCAAAATTAAAATTTGAGGAGAGTCCGGGGACCTCTGTGCAAATCTAGCATCCCTCAGGCACATCTCTCCTATGTACATTGTCACACTGAATCACAACCTAATTTATTACCACCCTATGCTCCCATACTCGAACCCGACAAAATAACCCTGACTTAAATTACAATGTCTCAACTGTCTGTTAAGTGGATGAAGCCCACTACGATACACCTCGACCTAACAAGATAGTGAAAAATTAAATCACAGTATCTCAACTATGTCTGTTAAGCGGGTGGAGCCCACAATACACCTCGACCTAACAAGATAGTGGAGAGTTAAATCACGGTATCTCAACTGTTAGGCGGGTAGACAGTAGAGCCTATTGATAATTTTCATTGGGACTGTTAGGGCTTGATCTTGTGTTCCGAGGACTATGCTTGACGTTCTAAGTCCTTTGAGCTGATAAAAGTTCCATGGAAGCCATAGGGAACTCTTGACGGGAGCTTGACGGTGGCTTCGAGTTTCAAATTCCCGGCGTTCACTATCCGGAGCTCCGACTTGCATGTCTTCTCGTCGTGGACGAATGTAAGAATGTAGCCGTCGTCTTCTTTCTCCGAGGAGCCGGGCACAAAGAACGGCTCCCCGCCGTATTTCTCGTCGCCATAAATGTATTTCTCGAGTTTCCCGGTGAAGAGGTCGACTTTGGCGAAGCCGGAGACTTTGGGCCACGGCTCGGCGATGGCGAGATACGCGTACCGTGTTTTCCGGCCGAGAAGGTTCCGGTTGACCATTCCGGCTTCTAAGTTGAGGTGTTCCGTGGATTGGATGATCGGCGTTTTGGTTGATTCGCCGGTTTTTAGATTCAGCCGGATTTCGCATAGGACGCTCTTGAGATTCTCGTCGCATTCGTTGAAAATTGAGTCCGGCGGGGTCATGCATGAGCCGATCACGACGACCTCGTCGGTTTCCGCCTCTTCCCAGGCGTTCCAGAGATGGAAACAGAAAGTTTCCGGCGACTCGACCCAGATAATATCCTTAGAATCTCCGGCATTTTTCTTGAGAATCCCGAACCGGGATTTCTTCTCCTTGTCATATATCACCGGGGAGCCGCCTTTAATCATTTCTTGAAGCTTAAAAACCACTTGCTGGTCGGGAATCACGACGTAGTTCTCGGTGATCGCGAAGTCGTGCATCAAGGTCGGAACGTCGAGGTTGATTTCCACGTCCGGGGACTTCTCCCCGGCGGTGGAAACGTTGAAGTATTTTAAATAAGGCTTCTGAACGACGTCGTAGCTCAGGGCGAAAAGCTCGCCGGAAACCGGGTCGATTTTCGGGTGGGCGATCATTGTGGTCCGGAGCTCCGAGTTGAAATCGAATCTCCCGACGGTTTCCAGGTCGCCGGAGCGTTTTATGCGGACGTGGTAAGGGAGGTCGTCTTCCGACATGGCGAGTAATCGGCCGTTGAAGTAGACGAGGCCGGCGTTAGCGACGCCGGTGCCGCGGCTGTGATCGACGAGGCCGAAGAGGCCGCGGGCGTAGAAGAGGAGGAGGCGAGCTATCCCGGAGTGGCCGTGGAGCTCGCCGATGGCTTTGGGGAAAACCGGCCGGTTCAGTTCCTTTTCCTGAACCAGCCGCTCAGTCTCCGTGAACCGGCAGGCGTAGCTGACGGAGTTGCCGTTAATTGTGACGGCGTGAACCATGCCGTCCCCGTCGAAGAAGTGGTGACCGGCAACCGGCTCGAAGAGCGGGTTAGCGCCGTTTCTTACGTAAATGCCGTTAATGCATTCCGGCACGGCGCCGACCACCGGGAGGTTATGCCGCACCGCCTGCTCCGGCACGGGGGCGAAGTTCCCAGATATTTGGACGCCCGGATCAGCCGTCTTGGGGAGCGGGTGTTTCCTCTCCACCGCCACCAACGCGCTCTCCACCGCGTTCAGCGCCGCCGAGGCCGCCCTCTGAAACACGTTCCAGTGCGGCGGCGGCGCCGCCGCCTGAGAAGTATCCGGCGGCGCCGGTGCCGGCGCCGGAGATTCCTTCTGGAAAGGATTCTTAGGGAAAGTGAGGACTGATGGGGAGTGGATTACTGCGCCACACCGAATTTGAGCTCTCCTATTAGCCATGGAAACGGACTTTGAAGTGAAACCCAAATCCACTTTTAAAGAAGGAGAAGAAGAAGAAAATGGCGAAGAGATTTGGATTCTACTAGCAGCCATTATATTCTTTGTTGTTTTAAGGAGAAAAAGTTGGCAATTTTATTGTGAATTTGAGTAAACCTCGTAGTGAAGGGAGAGAAGAGAAGAGAAGAGAAGAGGAAGGGAAGGGTTGTTTGGAGGGAGAGGGAAATAGCCAAATAGGTGGGGGTTTAAATAGAATTTGGTATATCATATTCCTAACTTATTATTCCAGATATACCATTTCTCCAATTCTGCAAATAGTATATCAGATATTTAATCCTCATATTGATATGAGAAATATCCTAATCAATTTCTTTTTTTTAGTTACTTTGTAATTTTTCATTTACTGGACGTTTTGTTGGGAGGAGAAAATTAGAAGAGAAAAGAGTTATAATTTGGTGGGAAAATAATAAAGTATGAATAGAATAGAATTCAAATTACACTATTTAGTATGAAGAAATTGAATTATTAAAAATGTGAAGGAAAGAAGTAATATAAAAACTAAAAGTCATTTTCAACAACAACTAAGGGTAAAAAGGTAATTTTTTATATCTTTTTCCTTTCCATACTATGTTGAATTGAAATTCATAGGGGTAGGGGTGGTGAGGCATGAATTTTAAATCAACAAATGGAGTGAATTGTAATTCTGTGAAATTACAATTTTCTCTAGCCAAACACCGTAATTTGGGGCTCAAAAAATTGTGTTGTAATTACATTTCAATTACACCCAACCTAACACTTCATTACTTTCTATGATTTCAATACTATCATATATAATTAAATATAGAATGTTTTTAGGTAACCCATCCAAATTAGTCAGATTGACTTAATAGCCACAAAATTACAAGTTCGACTTTTAACAAGAACAACCTATTGGCTTCCTTCGTTTGAGCCGATCAACTATGAACAATTTAAACTGATTTATCTACTTATGGTCCATTACCAGTTAGAGCTACATGACATGATTTACTCAGTGTACACATTCGAGCAGTGACTACATTTACATAAAAGTTCACAATTATTACCAAGATGTACTCTTTAAATGGAGCATGTCTTGCGACTTGCCAATAGACAGAGCTCCTACGAAGAATCAAATTTAGAATTTTATAGTTACCTATAATATACTTAGTTATAAGTATTAGGTACTATTATCACTGATGTTAATAGTACATGTAATCAGTTAGATATTATCAATATTGATGTCGATTGAATTGCTATAATATAATATTATGAGAAATTATTATTTTTTTTTAATAAAAAGGGAAAAGAATTTGGTGTTGGAAGAAATAGAAATGAGGAGGGAGGTCCACATTCATAGACATGAATAGGAAGACCACGTGGTGGATTGGTGGAAAGGGCACTTGGGACTAACATTAACACAACAGTGAGACATTTGTGGGGGAGGATAATTAAAAATATATATACATTAAAAAAATAATTTGTTATTTCCTACTTTGGCTTGCTTGTTTCCATGACATATGACTATGACCTAAGTTGCTTAATTAATTTAACATTGACCAAATTTAAATGCTACATGCTCACAGGAACAGAGACACAGAAAACAAGCAATTTCTAATGTCGGATTGCTATTTTGTTGGTCTTATGTTTTGACTGAGAGTATATTCGGGAGAGCAATTAGAATAGTTAAAATGGGTGTTTGGTAAATAAATGTTAGCTGTTAACTGATTGAGTTAATTTGTTTGAGTAATTGATAACATTAGCCGATTGTAGAAAGATGTCTGGTAAATTGGTTGTTAACTGATGTTAGCGGTTAGCTGATAGCTGATTACATGCAAAATGACTTTCCAAAAAAAATTGATTCGGGCAGATTTTTGAATTTTAGCATTTTGAAGCAATAAGATGTTACAAAAAACTAATTAATCAAACACTTATATTGAATGTTTAACCAAGTCATAGTTAATAGTGGCCAAATAAGTTTTTGGCTGATAAGTTAACTATGTTACCAAACAAGGCTAACGTATTAGTAATTTAAATAAATTATTTATTCCAATCACAAAATTAATGACTAGTTAAGGGTCTAGTGAGATTTTTCATCACTTTACCATTTTAATCTCATAGTTCTTTGAAATGTATCATTCTTTCAAAGGCTGAACCTCAACCCTAAGGGCTCTTTAAAATGTATCATGAATTGGTATTTTGTTGTACTTTCTTGAATTCCTGTATTACAATTATTGCGCTAATTTTCATATGAAATTGGTAATTTATTATTATTTTTTAAATTTTGAAATATGCTATGTGAAATTTTTTCTTATGCAGTGTCAAATTACATACGAATGATAATCATAAAGAGTTTGCTCTGACATGAATGGACAAACCATTCAAGGGGAGTGAGACAATATATATGTGTGTAATAAGTTGTATTCGATAATGTACGTCTTGTACCAGTGCTATACTGCTACATATATATATATATATATATATATATATATATATATATATATATATATATATATATATAAACAAAATAGTTAATTCTAATTTTAGTTCACATTTAGTCCACATATTTTAAAGCTGTCATACATTTAATCTTATATATGTTTTCTATTTTAAGCCCTCCATTTGCATCTAGTAAAATTATCGTCAACTATTAAGACAAATTTGTAATTTCTCTCTCTTTCCTATAACATATGTTAGAAACATAACGTTTTGAGTATGAGTTAAATGGCTTGAGAGTGAGATAGATATTGCAACTTAGCTTTGTCTTTATAGTTGACAATAAGTTCACTGAAGACAAATAGAGAACTAACAAATGATAAACACAAGACTAAAATGTGAAAATTTTAAAAGATTAGGGGGATGGGGGTGGGGGGGGGGGGGTGAACCAGGACCGTTGTTCTCCAGTCACTGTTGGAAATTATGGAATTTTCGACCACATGAAAGTGATCTTGGTTCTGTTTGGTAAAATAGTTGTTAGCTGATTGTGTTAATTAGAGGGTATAAATAGTTGATAGCATTAGCTGATTGTAGAAGAGTGTTTGGTAAATTAGCTGTTAGCTGATAGCTGTTTGGTATAATTTCTTTTCTCAAAAGCTAATTGAAAAAGTTGTTTGGAGTAACTTTTTGAATTTTAGCCTTTTGGAGTTGCAAAAAGCTAATTAACCAAACATTTATATTGATATTTTAACTAAATCAAGCAATTAATAGTGGTCAAATAAGCCAAAATTGGCCTATAGGCCAATTTTTTACCAAACAGTGCCCTTAAATCAAATCGAAACCAAAAAATAGTTGGAAATTACAACAAAGGTTTTTCCGGATACCAAAAGTGGTCGGAACAAGGCTTTCGACTTGATTTAAGATCACTTTCAGGTGGTCGGAAATTTCATAATTTTTAGTAGTGAGTGGTTGCTTGCCCCATGTTAGCTAGGTAGTCGGCACATCGATTACCCTCACGAAGAACATGGACAACCTCACACTCACAAAATTTGTTCATGATAAACTTATAGTCAGCAATCAAAATTTCATATTCTGGTCTGGACTCAATTTCTTTATTCACAACTTATAGCGTTGTACCATAGTTTCTGAGTCTGTTTCCTTATTCCTTGTTATTATTACAAGGTATTTTAGTCTTTATATCAGTTCTTCCATTTCAATTACAATTCTTTCCCTCTTAATTCCATCCTTCCAACTTCCAACCAAACTGCTAACGGTTAATAGTTCTTTAACATATCGATATGTAGTAAATGCCAGTAATTTCACCAAAACACCATTTAATACTTTTAGGGGGCGTTTGGTTCGGGTTATATAGGATAACCAAGGGAATGTGACATTCCAAATCTCACATTCCGGTGTTTGGTTCATATTATCTTAGAGAATCTAACATTCCCAAGGAATGTCACATTCCCTCCACATAGGATTTTGAAGGGAATGTGATTCCCTTCAAAATCTTAGGTAATGTAAGATAACCTTGGTTATGTTAGTTTATTATATATATATATATATATATATATATATATATATATATATATATATATATATATATATATATATATAAAATTATTTTTGTAATTATATATATTTTTTATTTTTATTATGTTATGTTAGCATATAAAATAATTTTGTTTCTCAAGTTCAAGATTTTAGTTAATATTTTAAAATCATGTAATTATAATATTATATATGATACCGTTATCTTATTTTTTTATTTTAATTTTTAAATTTATTAAAATATATGAAAATATGTTAAGGATATTATAGTGTGTATAAAAAATAACCCTAAACCAAACATGATTATATTACATACCCCAATTTTAACCAAACACAGGAATCTAACATTCTCAGTAATCTAACATTCCAAGCAATCTAACATTCTCTAAGGTAATATGACATTCCGTGAACCAAACGACCCCTTAATGTATTGCACTATCCATTTCACCCCTAGCTAACACATGATTTTATCTTCACATGCTGCATGGCATGACAAACCAATTCATCCAAGTTAGCTAGCTTTTAGTTGTTGTTATTTCAATTCATTTGGTGTCAAATCACAGAAATAAACATATTAATGATAAAAAAAATGAAATGGCTCCGACAGGATTGGACCGCCATAGAAGGGAGAGGGGGCATGGATTAGGGACCAGTGAGAGACTCATCCCCACATGTATGTATAATGTATGTATGTATATATGTATGTGGAGCTGCGAGAGAAACAGTGTTGTAGCTAGAAGAGATGATTGATATGTGACTGCGTATTTGCCTCTATCATAAACCCCCACCACCATGTGGCTCTTTCCCATTCTTCTTCAATTCTACCATAATTCTTCGATATACAAACCCTGCCCCCACCCCCCTAAAGGCACCCATAAATTTTGAGAAAGTTAAATCTTATCACATTATTCATCAAACTTTTATATATCTTATATATATCGCTCCAATCTGTTCGAATTTGTTGAGACATGTCCTGCTGTTTAGTGGGTGGTCGGTTACTAGGCCCAGTAGGTCACTAGCTATGAAGAGAACTATGTAAATCATCCTGCCATTTGGTAAAACTTATTAAATTACAGTCCGCATGGGTAGCTCAGTTGATCACAAGGGTGATGTTTGAGAAGACTGATCGAATCTCACCAGCCACAGTGTGGGAGCAAACTCTCAAAGTGAGGGGGCTCCTTGTGCGCAATAAGCAAATGTCTAGCCTCT